GTCCGCTTGCCCAAAACCACAGGGCAGCAACAGTGACTCGGGAAGTGGCTGAAACCCGACCCCTCGAGGCCCTGGACTGGTCGTGTCAGTGTGGGTCATAGCTGATGTTCACGGTGCCACGAGGATACTTTTCATCTCCCAAATACTTTTCATTCTCTAGAGAATGGACGGACTTGGGTTTGGACCCCTCTCCCCCTACTTTGTGTCTGGAAGTCACAACCTCTTTGTGCTTCCTGTCCTGAAAAATGGGCTCACAGTAATCCTGACCTTCTGGGGTTGTCGTGAGGTTCAAGTGATTCGATGCAGGAAGAGTCCTGGAACAGAGCTGGGCCCCTCGCAGGTGCTCCCTGGGGGGTGAGGATGGCCCTCCATCATCCCTGAAGACGTAAGGGACCCCACTGCCTGATTTGCTAGGAGAGGGAGCAGTTGAGGGCAGGTTAAAGCCAAAGGAACAAGGAGAGGATGAATACAGGGCCGCACCGTGGGCGTGGGGCCGCTCCTTGCTGGAAGAAATCCCGAAAGGCTCCCTGGAGGAGGCGGCTTCAAGCAGAGGGTTCAGAGTCCACCTCTCTTGCCCTAAGGCCGCTTGGGGGCTCCCTGAGCAGCACAGGGCTGAAGGGAAGCCCCCTGCCCCAAAGCCAATACTAGCCCAAGCTTCCTCACTGGGTGCCCTGAGGCCAAGCTCCTCCCCTCTCCAGGCACCTGCCAGAGGCACCTTCCGCCCTGACCCTCCTCAGGCTCATCCCCACAGTACCCAAATCTTGCCACTGGGCCCAGCAGGGAGGGGACTGGGAGCCACCGCCTTGGGGCCGCCCGGGCCCGGCCGGGGAATGCCCCCTCCGCACCCTCAGCTCCTCCAGGAGCCAGAGCTGGCAGCCGCCCCTGGCCAGACACTAGGTCCTCCCCCAGCCCCCAGGCCAGACCAAGTTCTCTGCACTTTTCAGACAGGGAAACTGAGGTCGAGAGGTCCCAAGGTCCCAAGGTCGTGGCAGAGCCAAGTTTCTGGTCCTCGTTCCCAGCGGCCAGCGCCCCACGGAGGCCTCGGGAAGGGCAGACGGGCCGGAGTCCTGGCCCGAGGCCCTGCTGGGGGGCCCTGCTGGGGGGCCCTGGGTGGGCAGCCCACACGCTCGGACTCTCGGCTCTGCGGGTGCCTGGCGCGGAGGCAGCAGCGACCTGCTTCTTTTCGGGGGTTCCACGCTCCCCAGGAGCAGACACGCGGCTACCTTACAGCCTGCAGGGGCCCGGTGCTCAGAGGACCCTCGCTGCGGGGGGGCCCCCCCCCCCGCCGCCTGCACCCCTGCCATGCACGGATCTTCCTCCCGGAGCGCCCCCCCCACCCCCAGTCTCTCCATCCGCACCCCCCGCACCCCCGCCGCCGCCCCGCCTGGTGCCCCCACGCCCCGGGCCCCGGAGGGCGGCCGCTGCTCTCTCCTGCTCACAGGCTCACAGCTTCTCTCCCCCTTCTCTCCTTCCCTGCTCTTCCCCAGCCTGCCTCCTTCTGTGACCCCCCTCCCCCCCATCCTGGGTTTACAACGATGACAGATTTTTTTCTTTCCCTTTTGTCTCTGTTCCTCCCCTGCAGGGAAGCACGTGCCCCTCTCTCCAGACAGAGAGAGGGACGGAAGAAACAGAGGACAGTGGCCCGCGCCCACGCCCACCCGCAGGCCGCGCACTTGCACACAATCCTCCTCTTGTCAAGCCTCCCAGAACTGCTCTGGTATTTGGGGGGGGGGGGGATTGGAAATGTCGGCCTTTATTCTAGAGGCTGAACAGGGCCAAGCGGCTGGAGGAGCAAGAGGGAGCGAGAGGCGAGAAGAGGACCAGAGGGAGGCAGAGGGACTCAGTGGGGGACACGCCGCACAAGGGGACCCAGCATGCGCCCTGCCTGCTGTTGGCTCGGAGATGCAGCTTCTGCCCGGCACCGGGGATCCACGGGGATAGGTCCCCCCCGCACCCCAGCCAGGGACCAGCAACAGAACTGCCGAGGGCGGCAGTGCCTAGCCCAGCCCTGTCATCCCCGGCGGCCCCTGCAGCGGGCATCTCTGAGGCTGAAGGCAGACAAGGGATGTGGCTTGTCTTCATGGCTGGGGGCCCACCCCCAAATGCACCCCGTCCAGAGGCAGGGCCCCCGATTGGACGGCTGATCCCCAGCTCATGTCCCGATCCTTCCTGAGCACGGAGACCACCCAACATCCCCTCCACAGCCCAGCCCACCCCTCTGCACCTGTACATCGGGGTGCAGACAGGAGGAGGAGGGTATTCTCATCGTTTAGGTTCTTTCTCCGGGGGAGGGGGCATGAGTGAGCCTGAGTGGATGGGGGATAAAGAGGCACCTGGAGGGGGGGCGTGGTGGTAAAAGGTGTACAAGTGTGTGGAGTGGTGTCTGCGCACGTGCAACGCATCTGTGTCCGTCTCTCCAGGTGAGTGCGACATAAGGCCTGTGTTTGAGTGTGTCCGGTATCAGCCGTTACGTGTCAAGAGTGAGGTGTGGTGTCTGCGTGCACGTGTGTGCACGCGCAGAACAGGGCCACCCAGCTTGTCCAGGAGAGCCACGTGACTGCGGCCTTACCACCTTGCCCGGCAGGGGTGATCGTGGAGGCCAGGTTCTGCTGCCCCTGGAGAGAAGAGGGGAGCTCTGGTGGGCACCCCACCATTCACGGACCCTCAGCGGCCGTCCAGAGTCTGCTCAGGGTTGGAGAGAGCTGCTTGTCCTCCTCCCACCGAGCCACTGTCTGAACACCTGGAGGGCACGGCTGGGCCTCCACCGCCTCTGGAGCCCGCAGGTGCGGCCAAGGCCAGGCATGGGGCAGGAGCTCAGCAAACGTTTATCGACTGAGTGAAGGATGGTGTCTGTGTGACTTGCGTGCCAAAGTCTACGGGAATTCAGACCACAGGCCAAGTGAGCTGCCTCGGCCCCGAGTCAGCAGGGCTACGGTCAGCCCTCAGCCAGGCCCGGAGGCCGTGCCCTCCAGCCTCCTGCCGGTCACCTGCCCCGTCACCACTGGACATGGGGACTGCTTTACCGAAGGTCGATCTCAAGCTAAATGACCTTGTCATTCTGTGGGCTGAGGCACAAGGAAAGGCCCATCCATCTTCCCCGGAGGCCTCATCCACTTCCTGGCAGGGCCATCTCTCTTCCAAACATCTTCATCCTCCAAAGGCTCATTCTGAGTCCTCCAGCCTCCTCTCCTACCCTTGGGATCACAGACCAAGGGTCAGTTCTAGCTTCGAGGCTGATATGCAGGTCCTGCCCAGGGATGATGGCAGACTGAGCCCGTCTGTCCCGGACCGAGCCCTGACTCTAGCCGCACCCCGAGCCCTGGGCCTGCTCACATACCGAGCCTCGGCCTTGATTTGGAGACAGGCCATTCATCCTTTCCCTGGCTCTGGGCCTCGGTTTCCTCATTTTTCCAATGGAGAGCCTTGGAATAGGATTGGCACTAAGTCCCAAAGGCCCCATTCAGAGGTTGGCCTGTAGCTTCCCTGACCGGGTAACACCGGAGAGCAGCAGCCGCTGCCACCTGCCGGCCCCCACCCCCACCGGGTACTTTCAGCCAAGCATCCCTAATTTTTGCAGCCGCCTTGATAAATGGCATTGTCGGCAAAATGACATCTTTCTAATCTGCTGCAAGACAGATGGGTCCCCAGGCTCACTCGCTCTCTCCGGAACCTGCCCAGAGCAGCCTTGCCGAGGATCAGGATTGGGGACGACAGGACACACGCCATACCCCAGGCCTGGGGCCTATCACGGGGTGCGGGGGGAGAGGATTTCTGCACCCAGAGTCAGGTATGGACCCCGTGGGCTTTCCTGCAAGGCCCCTTTAAAGTTACTCAGGGTTGTGACTGTGGTTTTAATATTCTGAAGATAGTCTCTGATCCCTTCCATCCACAGTTGGCTCTTCAGTTCAGTTTTCGTTTTTCGATGAAAACCTGAATCTTGCTCAAGTGGACCCCAGCCTCCCCAGCGGGCAACTGCCTGCCCCAAGCCTCAGAGCTGGAAGGGGTGGGGCGGGGCGGGTGGGCCTGGACCCATGGGTGAAGCAACACCGCCCCCTCCTGGCTACCGCGGCCCCTTCTCTCCTGCAACGGGCGCCGCAGGGCGAGGCTGCGTCTGGCGAGCTTGGGGGTCGGGGTGAGGGGGGCGTGCAGACCCCTCTCCCAGCGGTCCGCTCGGCCTCTTGGCCTCCTCCCGGGTGGAGCGCAGCCCCCGCTCTGCTCATGCTGCCCAGGCCTCTCTCACTGCCCAAAGCATCCTGAGAAGAACGTATCCTGTCCAACCGCATCGGGCTGGGACGAAGCCAGAGCTCCTCCAGCCGCCCAGGACCTGGCCCCTGTCCCCCTGCTGGCCAGCCTCCCCAGGTCCCACCCCGCACGCTGCGGTCCCCCCTGCATGTCCTTGCTCCCATCTCTGCGGACCAAGAATAGCCTCCCTCCCACACTGTCTCCACATGTCCTCCTGTGTCCCGCTGCCTGGGAAATCTCCCTCCACCCCCAACCCCAACCAGGCGACACCTCCCTCCTCTGCCCTGCCCCAGTCCTGGGCCGGGACCACTGTCGGGGATCAGAGTCACCCCGCTGTGGAGCGGCACCTTCCAGACCGATGCTCCCCCCTCACTGTCCGAAGGGCGGGGACGGGAGCTGCGCAGAGCCACAGAGCAGAGCAGCAGCAGAGTTCGGACCAGCACACAGCCGTCCGGGTCCCTCCCGGGGCTCCTCGGAGGACATGTGGCCACCTCCCCTGGTGAGCCGGAGCAGACCTGCCCCCACACAGGGACCCCTGCAATGCCTCCCAGCACCCTGGCCCCTCACCACCCAGGGCAGGCCCCAAAGGAAGCAGCCGTGTTTGCAAAATGAAAAATTAAATAAGTGAAAACATTTATCTGATACCTTCTGTGCGCTAGACACACCGGCTCTGCTGCGTGAGACCTTAGCGAGCTGTTCAGTTCAATATAGAAAAATACCTTCTGCGGGGAGGGGCGGGTGCAGGCAGCGGGAGGGCCCTAGTCCTGAATGTCGATGAGCAGCGGGCACAGGTAGGGCGAGTGCTTGATGCCCATGGAGAAAGCGGGGGGGCAGGGCTTGTGCACCGTCACCTGCTGGGTGTTGTGGGAGCCAGGGCCGGGCCGAGGCGTGCGGTCCGTGGGGTATGCAAATCGCTTGGCCATGCTGTACGTGGGGCTGCGGTTCTGGTAGACGGAGGGCTCGGGCCGGGAGTAGGCAGCTGGCCCAGGGCCCCCTGCCACGTTCTCCTTGTAGAACCAGCTCTTGTGCTCCGAGGAAAGACTATAGCAAGGAGCAGCTCGGCTGACAGGGTTGCTGGGCCCCAACAAGAGGGGCAACTGGTACTGGTTGGGGGCTGGATTGGGGTCCAGCACTCTGTACGGGCACCGGTGGCCAAAGGCATACTGGGGAGCCCTGCGTTCCCCAGGCGGGTGGATCTTCTCCAAGTAGTAATGGCAGGAGGCTGGGTTGGGGCTCAGACCTGCAAGTGGATGAATGGAGGGGGAGGGTTTCATGTGGGAGCCAGGCTGTCTCCTGGTGTCCGGCTGATGGTGGAGAGGCAAGGGTCTTGGGTAGCCTGACGTGACTCTCCTATAGTCCCTTCATCATCAGGCAGGGACACCACCGCCCCTGCATAGGGCTGTGGGCAGGAGAAGGGACCTCGGCCACCCTGACGTGAGGATTGACACTGTTATCATAATATGAAATCACAAGTGTCATCAGAACGTCACCCTTGGTATGTCCGCATCCTGTTAGCATCCCCGTGACGGCCCCCAGAAAGCATCCCGAAATCAGTAGTCTGTGAGCTCGTTAGCATGACAATATCCCTGATGCAACAGGAGCCCCGTGAGAGTTTTATCATAACATCTACCCAGTGACATATACGTGTAATGTTGGCTTCGAGACGTAAGCACTGTGATGACACAGACACGATGACATCAGTGTCTTGATGAAACATTGCAGGGAAATGCCAGGGTCCAAAGACACACCTGGCAAAGGGGAGTCAAAACCCTTTGTCTCTGCTCAGGTGCTAAGGGCGGCCCCCATTCCCCATCCTCCCAACCCCCACGTCCCCCTCCTATCCCGTCTCACGCAGGTTAGAGATGCGCTCCTCCATGGGGACTTGCGGGCAGCTGGACATTCCAAACCGAGTTATTTTGGGATCCAAGAAACAGCAAGGCCCAGAGCTGCAAATGTCCATGATCCCTGCAGGGCAGCCAGAGAGGCACGGTCAGCCCCAGAAGCCACCCTAGGGTGAGCCGCGACTGCCTCCCTGTGAGATCCCCTGGCCCAGTAGAGAAGTGAGGGCTCCCTTCGGATTCCCTGGACTCCTGGGTGTTTCCCAACCTTGATTTCTTCGTCTGCAAAACGGGGCTTTTAACGAGTGGCCTACCAGCCTCAAGAGCTTGCTCAGAGAAATAGATCAGAGAACAGCTGCTCGGCAGCGTGGTCAGCCCCCATCAGGGACTGGTACCAAGGGGTCATAACTGGCACAGGGGCTATTGTTAGTACTAAGAAGGGGCCCAGCCCAGGACAGGGGCTTCCCTGCTGGGGAGGCCACGGCATGCCAGGGAGGGACCCAGCTGGCCTCTAGATCTCAGCGCCCCAGGTACACCTCTCGACAGCCCCGTACGTGCTCTCCTCTCACTGGCCTTGACCGGCAGCCAGAGCTCTTCTGTGGCTTCCTGCTCTTGCCTTTCCAGGTGGTTCAAAGCCACTGGGGAGCCTGGGGAGCCACCATTCCCACCAGTTCCCCCACTCCCCAGCTATTTCTGTCCAGCTTCTGTGGCAAGTGAACCCACAGCAGCCAGAGCCAAAGGGCCCCGGCCCGAGATAAGACAGAGAGAAGACTCTGGCGTCTGGACAGTGCCCGTGGCCCCTCGAAGCTCCCTCCGGGGCCCAGCTGGGAACTACCCGCAGAGTGGCCTATGGAGGGATGCACCACCTGAGCAGCCCTGCTGGCTTCCTTCTGGCCCCAGTGGGCCTCCTGGGTGTCCTCTTCAGGGTGACCTCTGTTCCCAGGGTCCCCTGGCTATGGGCAGTGGCTCCCTGCCCCTCACTGCTGCCCCAAACATCCAACGATAATAACCCTAAGCCTGAAGGATTGAAGGGCTGACGGGCACGGGCGTGGTGAGCACGTACGCTTCTCCGAGTGCCTGGCGTGCAGAGTACAGGCCGGCTCCTGGAACATGGAGATGTCATGGTCTAAGTAGCCCGTGCAGGACGGCCGGAGGTACTTGGCAGGGCCTGGACCTGCGAGGATGGACAGGGCAGCCCTCAGCCTCGACCCATTGGTGAGAGGCAGGGGACGCCCCAAAGGCAGTGTGCCATGAGAACACCGGGGTCCTAGCTCTGCCGACGTCACACTGCCACAAACCCCCCATCGAGCTTCCTTTAGGGAAAGACAATGCTCCCAGATAAAATGCAGTGTACCTTAGGCGGGCAACGTGGGATACAAAAGATAAGAGTTACAATTAACCGAGAACTTACTCTGCACCAAGCACCGCAGCGAAGTGTTTTACACCGATTATTTCAGCTAAGCCTCCTAACAGCTCCGTAACGCTGATACTATTGTGTTTCCCATCTTACAGATGAGAAAATTGAGACTTAGAAATAGTTCACCCAAAGTCACGCAAGCCTGGTAATGTGAAAACCCTGAGACAATCAGCCAACAGAACCCCAAATATAAAATCACGTACTAAACCACCTCCCACGTAGGCCAACAATCAGTCATTAACAATGTAGTAAGAATTAGTTTGCTTTCAGTTGAGAGTAAGATTTGAGAGACGTGAGGCCCGCCAGCTGCGAGTGAGCTAAATGTTCCTTTGACTCCCTTTTTCCCAGAACTGGCCTCACTTCATACGCCATGCTCCCTCCCACCCCTAGCCCCCTGACAATTCCCAGCAGCCAATACTGCCTCTCGGGTTAAGCTTGAAGGTATGGATGTCTGTGGGCGTGGAGGAGAGTCCTGAGGAGCTCTGCGGCTGGGCTACCTTCGGGGGCCTGCAGAGTGGAGAGGCCAAGCTCAGGGCGAGGGCCTGCTCTCACCTCTGATCATTGCCATGATCACGGGGCTCTGCTTTATCTCCTGCCACGAGGGCACCTGAACTTCCTCCTCTGGGTGCTGCCCAGAGAACACCGAATTCCTGGCCCCCTTGGGCAGTTTCATGGCTGCGGCCCAGGACGGGTCCAAGTGGTCAGCGAGGAGCTAGGCCTGTATGAAGCCTGTCCCAGATGCCCCCCACCAGGCCCTGTGTCCACTCTCTCCCCCACTCGGGAGGCTGCATGGGGGTTGGGAAGGAAGTGGAGCCTCTGGCTTGAGCAGCTGAGGCCGTCTGGGGTGCAGCCAGCCACAGGACCCAGCAGGCTAGAGCTAGGATGACATCATCGCAGAACTTGGACTGTGAAACCCGGAGTGTTTATTTCCCCCAGTTACCATGGCAGCTCAGCTATAGAACCCTGAAAACTAGGCCCCACGGCTCCCTACTCCCAACCAGGCTACACAGCCTGAGGGTGCCCAGAACCCTGGGTCAGGGAAGGAAAAGGGAGGGGGGGTGTGACAGAGCCAGCTCTCCACTCCTGGTGGGTGCTCTGAAGTGGGAGGAAGGAATGCAAAGTGTGCATGGGTCCTGGGGGAAAAGTTTCTGCAGCCTGGTAGGTCCCCTGGGGTGGCCCTCTATCCCCTGCCCCTCCCACCTATCCCCCCATACATGCCCCCCCCCCAGCTCTGGACACGCCCTCCCTTCCCGCTATTTTTCCTTGGAAAAGGATCAAGCCAATTATTTCACACTAAGGTGTGACTGTCTGATAGCTTCCCAGACTCCCACCCCAGGGCATGGTGTCGTTAGAGATCCAGTCCAGCTCAAGGAAGGCTTGCCCGCTGCTGGCACTTCAGGCAGGGAATGGGAAGCAAATAAGGAGGAGGGAGGAGTGGCATGAGGCCTGGAGAAGCTACTCCCTGTGCCTGTGGCCCAGAGCACCTGGGGTAGGGCAGTGTGAGAGGGAACGTTGAGGGGCAGAGAGGATCCCCAGCTGCCAAATGATTGCCAGATGAGCCCTCGGGCTGAGGAAATGCTGGGGCTTCCTTCGCCCCTAAAAGCCCCAGGGCCCCAGGGCCTGCCTGCACCCCTAGTTCATGGCCTGGCCCGGGGATTTGACCCACACCCGCCGGCAGGGGTTTCCGTCTTGGGAACGGATGACTGCTGACTGCAGAGGGGGTGCCTGTCACAGCCCCAGTACACGAATAAAGAAACTGAGGCCCCGGAGGGGGCAAGGGCTTAGCCAAGGTCTCCCGTTATGTCAGTAGCAGGGACAGAACCGGGACACAAACCCAGGGCTCTCTGGCTCGCTCGCAGCCTCCGATCTAACGGAAACCAGGCCCCACTTGGAGCTCGGGGCGGCCGGCAGGCGCAGCGAGGACGGAGCAGACAGGCCTCACGTGCTGGGCCTCCCAGAAGCCTTGTGGGACTGAAGGGCCCGGAACAGAGGGAAGCCCCCCCACCCCGCAGCCGGCCGCAGATCCACCCTGTGCCTTTCCCATCACCCAGGGGGCAGCTAAGCCTCTGATTTCTGGAACAAGGGGGCTGAGAGGGCCGGGCAAGGCAGGGACTGGCCTCGGGCCACAGGCAGTGCCTCCTCCTCACCCCCATCCTCATCAGCGTTTCCTGGAGGAGGCTGCAGGCCTCCGGGCTCAAGCCCTGACAGTCCCCTCAAGGCTGACCGGGGCCCCATGTGGGCTGAGGCCCCCACCCTCTTGATCCGGGGCCCCAGGCGGGCTAGAGTCTCCCAGGATTTCAGAGCTGGGGGCCCTCCTACAATACCCGGCCCTGATCCTGCCTGCCAGCCCCACGCATGGCTCTCCTGGGTAGCCGGGCCACCCCGACTCCCGCTCCAGAGGCCCCTTCCTTCCAGTGTAGCAGAGAACCCCCCCCCCCCCCGAGATGGCCCTTGGTGCTCTGCAGAGCTGCTCCATCCGCCCCTCAGAGTCCCAGGTGAGCGCACCCCTGGCCTCTTTGCTCCCCACCCGGGCAGGGTCCCCTCCCCGTCAGATACCACTCCCTGAGGGCTTCGGCACCCAGGGTTCCCCCTCCAGCCATCGTCTCCTCAGGGGGCCCACTGTCCCGCCTCATAAACCTGGAAGCCCTGAGCTCTCCCCCAGCCCGCAGCCTGTCACCCTAACATCCTGGCCGGACACCCCGCGCCGAGGCCCATCCCTACCTGAGCTCTTTGGCCCCACTGCTCCGTCCCCTCCTGCCTCCACTGCCCTCCTTGACCAGTGGCACTCCTAGGAACCACCACCTCCCGCGGCCCGCCCCTGCCACCAGGTCCCCGGCCGGGAAGAGCAGCTGGTCAGGACCAGGGCCTCCAAACCCCGGCCTTGCCGCCAGCCGCCAGCGCCTGTCTCCACACTGTCGGCTGCTCTTCCTGGGAGTCTCCGCAGAGGTCACTTGGTCAAGCCCAGCCCTCCCTCAACCCTGTGCACCCCCCTTCTCAGCACAGGGAAGGGCCACAACAGACCCCGACCCAACCCCTCCAACCGCGCAGTGGGCACCCCCATTCCCTCCTGGGGTTCAGGAGGACCCGCCCAGAGGGCCTTTCTTCCCTCTGCCTAAGCAGAGGCGGTCCCTTGGTCACACTCTCTTTACCTGGTGGGGGTGGGTGGGGGGGTGGCTTAGAAGCCATCTCCCCAGCCCGCACTCACACCATCTCTCCGCGGCTCGTGTCCCTCTTTTCTGTCCAGACCTCCCCTGGGAAGCGTTTTCCTGGTTGTCCCTCTCCTGGGCCTCCTTTCATGCCTCAGCACCGCAGGGCTTCAGGCCAGAGCCCCACCTGGACCCCGAGCTGCCCAGGGAGCTCCCCCACCAGAGGCCTGACTGCCCCATGGCCCCGCCGCCCTTCCGCAAGCTCATCTCCTGGCTCCTGCTCCTCCGCCTGACCTTCCATCGTTGGCCTATGCCCATTAATCGCAAAGGGGAAAACTGTGACTTTCAGGGAGGAGCGAGGCCGGCAGCCCCTCAACCAAGTGAGTGATGGGAGTTAACATCGACAAGGGGGGGTGGGGGCAGGAAAATGCCGTGGTCCTCTGGGAGGATGCACGGAGCGGGACGCAGCATCCCTTCGGGACTGCAGATGCAGGACCTGAGCCCAATTGTGAAGAGACCACACATAAGCTCAAGTCAAGATGCATTTTACAAAAAAAAAACTGGTCTGTACCTGCCGAAAATGGCAATGTCGTGAAAGACCAAGAAACACCGAAGGAAAGCACTTTCCCCGACTGGTAGAAAGCCAAGAGGGAAGACAATGAAATGCGATACAGCAGCCACGATGCTCTCTGATTATCAAGGATATTATTGGGGAAATCGGCAAAACAGGATGCAGGTCTGCGGCTGGTTACAAATACGGCACTGAGGCTAATCTCCTGACGGCGGTCGCTGCTCGTCTGGTTATGGGAGAGGAGGCCCCTGCTCCCTTGTTCCGAGGAAAGAGCCACCGGAGTGTGGACGGAGGAAGGAGCGTCGTGTCCGCAGCTCACCCTGGAACAGCTCGGGAGAGGTGATGTATATACATAGAAAAGAATTTAGTATCTGGCGAAATATTAACATTGGGGAAATCTAGGTGAAGAGAGTGGGAAATATTTGTAATGGTCTCCCTGCTTTTCTGTACGTCTGAAATATGTCAAAAAGCTGAAAGAAAAAGTGTTAGTGTCTCAGAGTTCAGTCCTGGGCCTTCCTGTCATTTTATTTATTTTTTTAAACATTTTATTTATTTATTCATGATAGACATAGGGAGAGGCAGAGACACAGGCAGAGGGAGAAGCAGGCTCCATGCAGGGAGCCTGACGCACGACTCGATCCTGGGACCCCGGGATCACACCCTGGGCAGAAAGCAAGTCCTACACCGCTGAGCCACCCGGGATCCCCTTCTGTCATTGTAACCCGCCCTCCTGCCACCAGGGCGGTTGGCCTGCTGGTTCTTTCAGTCTGGGTGAGTCTACTCCAGTGATGCCCAGACAGATGCGCCCCTGGCCCAGGCCCGCGCGGGGGCTCGCAGCCCACCTATCCCATGTCCTACACGGGGCCACTGGCTCTCTCACAAGCACCTAAAATCAACACACCCAAAGCTTTTCTCCCAAGACGTCACCTGCCCCCCATCTACCTCAATGAATGACGCCACCAGCTGTCCGCAAGCCCCAGCTGGAAACCTGAAAACTCGTCACCGACATCTCCCTCGTCCTTACTCTGCATATCCAGTCACCCCATCACTCTGGGGAGCCTGGGAACTCCCAAGGCTGGGCCCTGCCTCTTAGTCTTGTGTCCCCAGAGCCCAGCAGAGCGCCTGACATATATGGTGAATACTTAAGAAGTATTTGTTGCGGGCCGCCTGGGTGGCTCAGCCGGTTAAGTGTCTGACTCTTGATTTCAGTTCGGGTCATGATCTCAACGTCCTGGAACCAAGCCCCGCATCGGGCTCCAGGCTCAGTGTGCCGTCTGCTTGTCCCTTTTCCCTCTGCCCCTCTACCTACTTGCTCTCTCTCTCTCTCTCTCAAATAGATAAATCTTTAAAAAAAAGAAAGAATGTTTATTGAATGAATGAATGAATGAATGAATGAGTCCATCCATTGAGTGATGAAGGGAAGGTCCCTCTTCGTGAGAGTAGAGTCCTCCTCTTGGAGCCCCGGTCCCCCACACAGCTGGACCCCCTGGACTACCACTTACATGTTTACAGATTCGCATCAGTTATCTGCTGCTGCATAACAATTTATTCCCAAAATGTAAGAGTTTAAGGTGGCCATAAACATTTACTATTGCACGTGGTTTGGGTGGGTCGGGAGTTCAGAAGCGGCTCAGCTGGATGGTTCTGGCTCTGGGTCCCTAAGAGACAGCAGTGGAGGTGTCAGGGCTGTGACCATCTGGAGGGCGATGGCTGCTGGCAGACCCACGTCCAAGATGCATGGTGAGCTGGGGCTGGCTGCGGGCGGAGGGCCTCGGCCCCTCCCCATCCAGGGCTCCCCGGGCCCCTCCAGTCTCAGTGGCCGGCACCCCAAGCAGGGAGAGGCTGCTATGTCTTCCACAACCCCGCCTGGCTGCTCAGCCCTGTCCAGCATGGAGGTGGGTGCACAAGGGCTGAACCCCAGAAGGCGGGGACCGAGGAGGCACATCGTGGGGGCTG